AAAAAGGGGGAGGAGGAGTTTTATGTGTGAGGAGTGAATTGCATTCTGTTGAGTTAGAGCGTATTAAAGAAAATAGCACTGAGGTTGAATAAGTTTGGATTAGTGTTAGTGGATATAAAGAGAGAAGTATTGTAATTGGGATTTGTTATAGACCACCAGATCAGAATGTGGAAGTTAATTAGAAATTGTATAATGAGATGAGAATAGTAGCTGAAAAAGATGTTGTTATTATGGGAGATTTTAATTTCAGGGGTATTGATTGAGAAAGTTTCGAGTCTGACAGTGGGGGGGATAGGTTTTTGGAAATTATTCAGGATACTTTTATACACCAACTGGTGATGTAACCTACAAGAGAGGAAGCTATATTAGGTTTACTATTAGCATCTGGTATGAATATTGTAGACAGGATTGTGGTTGGTGAGCATTTAAGTCCAAGCGACCATTGCACTATTGGGTTTCAGATTTTACAACATGTCATATTGAGATAGAATAGTACCCTGATTCTAAATCTCAGGAAAATCAATTTTGGTGGAATGAGACATGATCTGATTTCTGTAGATTGGATTAAAGTGTTGGGAGGGGATCTTGAACAGATGTGGGAAGCATTTAGGGAAAAATTGATATGCATACAGAACATGCATATTCCCTATAAAAAAAAGACAATGGAGCAGAGTAAGGTTGTATGGTTTAGTAAAGGTTTAAGAGATCATATTAGGGATAAACATAACAAATTCAGGAAATTTAAACTTACTGAAAATAATAATGACTTGGAGGACTATAGAAAATCAAGAGAGCTGGTGAAAAAGGAAAAGGGCACAAATTGTATATGAAAGAGGGTTGGCTGTAAGAGTTAAATCAAACGATAAGGAATTCTTTAGGTATATGATTGGTAAGAAAAATATTAGGATGGGAATTGGGCCTTTTAAAAATTATGGTGGGGAGCTGATCTCAGAAGATTATGAGTAAACTTATTAAATTACATGTTCTCTTCAGTTTTTACAAAGAAATATACAAGTATTATGCCTCAACTACACCACTTAATGTATGGGAAAAATATTGATGTAAAAGATATAATTTTATGTTCTGAAACTGTAAGAGAAAAGTTGGGAAACCTAAACAATTGATAAATCCCTTGGACCAGACAACTTTTATCCTAGTTTTAAAGAAACTTAAATATTTTATTTGTGAACTGCTAGCTAATATTTTTCATAGATCATTGAGTAGTGGAAGAGTATTAGAAGATAGGAAGTTGGCTAATGTTTGTCCAATATTTAAAGGAGATGATAAACATTGTGCAGGCAACTATAGGCCAGTTAGTCTTACATCAGTAGTTGGAAAGGTTTTGGAGAGTGTGATTAAAGATGCATTGCAGTCACTGAAAACAGTTTGATATAGTGTCAAAGATCCAGTATGGTTGCACTAAGGGAAATTCTTGTTTAACAAATCCTCTGACATTCTTTGAGGATGTTACTGCAAGCGTTGATGAAGAAAATACTGTGGATTTGGTTTGCCTTGATTTTCAGAAAGCATTTGATAAGGTGACTAACAAAAGACTTGTTGCAAAAATTAAATATTTGGGTGTGGAGGAAATGTTATTAAATTGGATAGAAAATTGGTTGGACAGTAGAAAGCAGAGAGTAGTAATAAATGGAGTTAGATCTGACTGGATTATAGTTACAAGTGGTGTGCCTCAGGGCTCTGTGCTGGGTCCTCTTCTCTTTGTGATTTATATTAATGATATTGACTCTGGAATGACTAACAAAATTTTGAAGTTTGCTGATGATATTAAGATTTTTGGGGTGGCTAACTGTATAAAAGATGCTGCAGACTTATAGGAAGATTTAGATCATTTGATACATTGGGCCAATAGGTGGCAGATGATGTTTAATTATCCAAAACAGAAGTTGATGCATGTAGGTTTTTACAATTCAAATTAGTGTTAATTTAAATGGGAATACATTAAATACTGTGGTTGAAGAAAAAGTTCTTGATGTTGTGATAAAAAAATTACTTAAGTCATTTAAATAGTGTACTGTAATTAGTAATAGGGCTAATAGGATTTTGGGTAACATCTATAGAAATATTGAATACAAGACAAGGGATATTATTGATTTACTATATAGATCACTTGTAAGGCCTCATTTAAAGTACTGTGTACAGTTTTGGGTGCCCTTCCTCAAGAAGGACACTGAATTGTTGGAGAACATTAAGAGAAGAGTCACTAGGATGATACCTGGGACGGTGGGATTGTCCTATGAGGAGAGACTAAAATGTCTAAACTTGTTTTCTCTTGAGAGGAGAAGGGTCAGAGGGGATTTGCTTGAGGTTTTAAAGATTATTAAGGGTATTGATAATATAGATCCATCAAACATTTTTGTGCTTAGCAGTGAAAACAATAGGACAAGGGGTCATAAATTCAAATTTTGGCAGCGTAGGAGTTATCTGCAGTTTAGAAAGTATTACTTTTCAAACAGGGTGGTTGGCTTTTGGAATGAGCTGCCTTTGAGGGTGGTGGAGGCAGAAAATATAATTGAGTTGAAGAAAAGATTGGATGAATACATGAGTAGTAAGGGGTGGTTATAGTTGGGAGCTGGAAGGAACATCCTTGATGGGCTAATAAGCTCCTTTTTGTTCCTTTAAAACTTTATGAACTTATGAACTTTAACATTAATATTTAACACTGATAATCTCCTAAATTTTCTATATTTATAAAAATCTACCTGAAAAAACATCATATTATAATAAATGCTCTTTGAACCAGGTTCGCTCGAAACTTGAAAAATATCCTTCTACATTTTTTTTAAGACATGTATGAACTTTTTTGTTGTTCTTTTATTGTAAACTTTCATTAGGAGAATGCTTCAGTTATTTTGAGTTTCAGGTAGAATTCCTTTAATAATTTCATTGATCTGACCATGAAAAAAACTGCTTCAGCAAATTCTCAAAATCCTTTAATAGTTTACTGACAAGAAAAGGCCAGCCTGAGTATAATAATCATATACATAATTTACTGAGTTTATTGAGAGAATAACAACTTTGAAATTAATAATTATATATATATATATATATATATATATATATATCATTTACTGGGTTTACAGGCAGGAAAAGACAAACTTAGTTACAATAATCATATACATCATTTATCAATTTTAGTGATACAAAAAGACCCCCTTGAGTGTAATTATTATATACATCATTTACTACATTTACAGACAGAAAAAAAGACACCTTTATACATT